TTTTGTGTGTCAATGTCATTATGAAGATGGTAAATATATCGAATTTCATCATACTTACAATCAAAGCTTTATGTGGGCGTATGTTACCTTGCCTGGCAAGCTATATTTTTCTTCACTTTTTGGCTCGTGCTCACTCTACAGACTACAATTCTCTATTGATTCTTTTGATTTGTTGTATTTGTGTCAATATCATTATGAAGATGTGCACTATTGAATGTGGTGAGGATCCGATGATTTTCTTCAGAGATATCGCATAAAACTCTGATATCGTGTTTTTTCACTTTTTTTGACTCGTGCTCACTCTACAGGCTACGATATAGAGTTTGTTTTACAGTTCACATTTAGCTCTTTATCAAGATGCCGATGGGCGTATTCGCTTGCGAGACTTGCCGCAAGCCTATGTTTAATACAGGTGTAAGTTAAGTAATACTTATTGAATAAAAACCCACTGGACAATCCATACTATCATTAGAATAACAACACCAAAGATGCGTTAAAATAAATTCTTGAATTGGTGAAATATCAAGGTCGGAGAGAGCAAATATATAATTATGTCGAATTATGTATGACACAGAACAGTTTTTCCCAAAAATATATAATATGCGCAGACATTTAATTGTGTTATTTAAAACTGTTCGTATTAAAACCAATTTCATGTGTTTATAAAAACTGTGGAATAAAAATTTGTAGGATTGATAGAATAATTGATCGACTATCATAAATTTGATCTCCATTTTAAATTGAAACTTTATAAGACCAACAAGAACCATAATGATTAATCTGTTAATCTGATCACACCAAATTCATTTAAATCAGATGAAAACTGTGGTCTCTATTGTGCTCACAAACAAATTTTACTAAGTAAAGGATAATAACTCAAGAACCATTCATCGAAAAATTTAATCCTATTAATTGCAATGATCACACCAAATTTCATCAAAATCCATTGAAAGTCGAAGCTTCTATTATGCCCACGAAATTTTTTTTACCCGTTTTAACACAGTCACGGGCAATAAAGCAAAAAAATCGTCAAATTCAAACTTAACTGAGATCTTATCAATTCCAATGTTCACAATCTAGTCTCACAGAAATCGGTTGAAAATTGCAGTTTCTAAAGTGCCAACAAACAAAATTTTTACGCGGTTTTACTGAGTCAATAATTCAAAATCCATTCGAACTGAGATCTAATCAATTCCAATGCTCACACCAAATTTCATTAAAATCGATTGAAAATTGTAGCTTCTATTGTGCGTACAAACAAATTTTGACACGAGTCAAGGGCAATAACTTAAAATCCTTTCATCAAATATCTTCAAATTCGAACTTGACCAAGATCTTATCAATTCCAATTTTCGCACCAAGTTTCATCAAAATCAAATGAAAACTGTAGTCTTTATTGTTCCCACAAGAAATATTGACTGACGGACCCAAGGACCGACGGTCAGGGGCAAGGACAATACACGACCACATTTTCATGTGGACGTATAAAAAGCACACAAAGGTAACTGTAAAAAAAATGTGTTAATGTACAAAATACGATAGTGAAACGATCACATTTTCATGTGGACGTATAAAAAGCACACAAAGGTAATTGTAAAAAAAAATGTGTTAATGTACAAAATACGATAGTGAAACGATTACATTTTCATGTGGACGTATAAAAAGCACACAAAGGTAATTGTAAAAAAAAAATGTGTTAATGTACAAAATACGATAGTGAAACGATTACATTTTCATGTGGACGTATAAAAAGCACACAAAGGTAATTGTAAAAAAAAATGTGTTAATGTACAAAATACGATAGTGAAACGATTACATTTTCATGTGGACGTATAAAAAGCACACAAAGGTAATTGTAAAAAAAAAATGTGTTAATGTACAAAATACGATAGTGAAATGTAAAGATTAAATTACATTAAGTAAAGTGGGATGTCATATAAATAATATTTTGTTTAGGTTACACCATTATTTCTTTCATTTTTTATGAATTTAGAAAGTTATCAAAAGCCGAGCAAAAATTTTTGTTTTGTATTTCTTCACTTGAAACATGGCATTGAAATATTCGGTGAAGCTCGATTATGTTCAGACGACTGTCAGCATAGCCCATATATATCATGCATCTTATTTGGCCACATACCTATCGCAGGGGATATGAAAGAATCAACAACTAACCAAGTATGTCCACTACATCATATCATTATCATTTGCATCTCACGATATTCAAATGAACATTATATCTATATATATCACTCTAGAATCCCTATTGTTTCAAGCTTTGTAGAAAGTTATTTTTAAGTAATGAATACCATAATACTCTGCAATAGAGACAATATATTTTTCAGTTTTATCCATTTTGCAAGCTGGAAATGACGTTCTACATTAAAATATTTCAACCAATATCATAAATAGGGAGTGTTATGAGATTTACAAAATAAACCATTGAAATGGTAGAAGCTTGATAATTGGCCTGGTCCAAAAACACTTGACATTGAATATTTGTTTACCTTCTTACCTTTACCTAGACGATTTGGTCTATTCATAAGCTTTGACTATAATTTTTCAATAATACTTTTTACATTTTCTTAGTGTACAAGTTCAAACAGGCCTAGTTATATATTTCTATATAGCTATGCTAAAAGTGGGCTATTTTCATTTTAATCTTAGTTTAGTTAAAAAGTAGTATAACACAGATGTACTGATTTCACCAAATGGACACCTTGTTTTGAAGCTACTACCTGCAAATCAGAATTAAGGATGGAATTATAGAATATGTCAGTTTATTTTTCTATTTCGTATGAGTTGTTGAATTGTCCTGATATATTAGCATCGTACTTTGCTGTAGTTTTCTTCTCCTTTAAACAGATTCGGACTAACAAAGCAATGATCAACAAAACTATAATACTACTCAATACTCCAGTTACAACCCAAAATTTATCCTCTGATACACCTGAAACAAATAATAAAAAATATCAATTTAATCTAGTTATTGCCCTTGTACTTTTAATTTCGAAACTGACCAATAAGCATCACCCTTTTAATGACATAATATATACACCGCCTCATTTAAGTTCGTAAAAAAGTTTCTAAAGTGACCATTTTAAGGGTTTAATCGTATGGTACTCAACAAATTGTCACAAAAACGCGACTGGCATCACTTGGTGCAAACCCAAATACATATGACATCCATCTTACATTGTAGCTTGTATAACCAACATGAGACAGATGAACAAACTGTAAAAATATATTATATTCATATTTATGCTAATTTATTCTTCTAAACAATTAAAGTTTTATTATTCAGTAAATGATACTGTATGAGAATGCGTTTGAAAAAAAAGAAAGGCCACTTACCCTTTTCGGATTTTTCTGTTGCACATGTCATCTCAGTTTTTTCTTCAAAATCAAATCCAGCAGCACCAAAATCACCACATCTTGGAAAACCGTTTGGTGCTCTCGGGTGGTGTCCATAAGATTCATTAATAAGCAAAGCCATTCCGTCCATATTGTGTAGCTCAATATGACAATGCATGAACCAAACACCAGGATTATCAGCCTTGATTCTTACCACAACATAACCTCCAGTAGGAACAATTATCGTATCTTTTCTTGGTGGATTCTTGAGTTCAAGTCCTGGAACATTACCTCCCAACCAACTTGAGTTTGTCCACGTGGCATCATTACAGAAACTCTCTGATCTAGGAATATTGCCACGGCAATCTATATCCATATTTTCTTCCAATAATATCCCTGTTGTTTCATTGTACGATCCATAACCCATTTTCAATACATAGAATGAATGACCGTGCATGTGAATAGGATGTGACCAACCCTTGCCTTTGGCCATGTTCATAAAGACCAGTTGGTAAATTTTTCCGTGGTCTAGATTAAGAGTATACAAACATTTACAGATTTTCTGTTCACCACAATCTTCACCACATTTATAATGACCTAATTCGTGAGGTTGAGTCAATGCAGATACCGCAGGTACTTCGAATGCTCTTCCATTAACTGATCCTGGGGTCCATTTATTTCCGGGGAAAGCAAAATTTAAAAATCTTTCTTCTATGACCTTATCTGTCGGAGCCTCCATCGAACCCTTAGAAGATTTAAGGTGATCAAATCTTACACATTTTGTATAATCTGTCTCTGGATAATATGAAAATGGGCAATTAACTACAACACACATATCATCAGGAGTACAGGACCGTCTTGATGTCATAGGCTCCTCAATATCAGATCCGTTATACCTAAGAATAGCTTCTGCGGAATGGTTTAAGCCAACTTCAAGAGTAACCGCTCTTACCCAGTAGTTATTTGTAGGCTGGTCTGCTGTGATGTAGAAATCATATCGTTCTCCGGGATTTATTATCAAAGATTCTGCTGTAAAAGGTTCTATGTCGTATCCATCTGATGCTATAATAGTTATATTATGATTGTCAATCGATATCCTGAAAGGGTACAAACTTCCTGCTGAAATCCATCTGAATTTATACTGGTTACCGCTGAAAACTGTGAAGATTTCAAGAGGAGCATCATTATGAACTCCATTTTCATTGTAATATCTGCCCTTACCGTTGATTAATCCTGCGTGGAATCTAAACATACTGAAAAACGAGCCATCTAAAGATTTGCTCCCTTGGGCTTTTGTTCTATTTTCATATATACCGTAAAACATTCTATAATAAACCTGGTTGGAATCCCAGTCATGATTCCAATCATTGATCACTACCAAAAACTCATGCATTACAATCGGTTCTTTAGGTCTAATGATGAAAGCCCCATATAACCCCATGGTTCTTTGAACTCCGACGTGCGAGTGATACCAAAATGTACCCTTTGGTTTGGCTTTAAAACGGTAGGTAAAGCTTTGATCGGGTCCTATGGGACACTGATTTACATAAGCAACCCCATCCATCCACGGCGTACCTCTTTGATGAAGACCATGCCAATGTATTGTGGTGGATTCACTTAGCAGTTTATTCTTTACGTGTACGATCACGTTTTGACCTTCATAAACTTCAATTGGTGGTCCCGGCAATGTTCCATTTGCTACTATGACCATTCGTGGATCTTCATATCCATCACCTTGTACGATATCACTAGCATCCATAGGTGAACTATTGGCTGTATCTGTCACATTAAATCTATAGAGATTTCCTCGTTCAGGAAACACTGATATCTTTCCTTTCATCATAGTTAATCGAAATCCTATTTCCAACCAAAATTCACAAGTATCGGCGTTCATATCACATTCTGTCGTACACTGGTTCAATGACGTCAGTGATATAAATAGAACGATGATCAGGAATCTATCCATTGTTCTACAATAAGAAAATAATTGATTAACTAACAAACAGATAGATTGACCACTTGAAGATAATATGCTTCTCCACTGAAATTTCAAATTGAATAATCCCACTTTAACCATGTCATATTGTATAAGATTACACAGATCTAGAAATAGAGTCGTTAAGTTACTAAGACACAGCTTGGTGGCCTTATCTGACTATAATCGTTGTTTCCATTTGGGATCCTTATGTGGAAGCTTCGAATTTTAGTTACAATTCTTGTGCTGGAGTTTTTCTTTGTTTCTACGTAAATACTGCTGTCAAAATAGACGTAATATCAACAATATTACAGTTTTAATCTGTGATGATGGCATTGGAGAATGTAAGCTTTCATCTTGTTAGTTTCTTAACACCCAATTCTTTCGAATTCAAGTAATAGACTGATTTTTCACAAATTTACAGATGCGCCATTTTTGGTGGTTAATTTGAGTCTTGAATATATGAAAATTGTCTTCAGAAGTACGAGGAATGTACAAAAATAACATAATACCTTCAAAAATACGTTAATATAATTTCTTTCCTATTTCTGTAGATATCATTTCTATATATGCCATTTAAAATTACTTAGTTTCTGAGACTAAGGTATGATTTGTCAAAAAAACGGCACATATGTCCCTCTAACATACATTTTTTTTTATCACTACCCCTTATTTGCAGTGATTTTTTATATTTGAAATCAGTGAATACTGTCCCACTTAGGTCGACAGTAATTTTAGTAATTTTTTTACGTTTTATAAAGACTTATTCAAGTATATTAGATTTGATGTCGCGTTCAATTATAAAAAAAGTAACACAATGTATGATAAAATTTATCTTGTGGTTCAGTGAGCATATTGTGAAGGGATCGAGCTTTTCGACCTACATATTGAAATCAGGCCAAGGTCATAAATCTTTTTTTTTTTTATAAAATCTCAACGAAGTATTTTGAATGATAATAAGTGCATTTAGCGATATCGTCTTTCTATAGTCAAGTATGTTAGCTGCGACCTAAGTATAAACATTACAAATAAAGCCCTTTTTCTGATTGTGTTCATAGAGGTTTTGAAATGACGAATAAGATAAAAGGAACTTAAAGGATCTATCCCCGATACATGTGATAATGATGGACAGACCTCAAATTAAAATGAGGTTATATGGAGTTAGGAAACTTCACATAGATTGTGCAAGGAGAGATATTTGCTTCCCGATTTCGAACTGTCAAAAGGTTTTAATGTGAACAATCTTTAATCCGGACAATGCGGCACTTTCTCTATGCCATCTCCTTCGATCGCAAAGATTCTAATAATCAGGTTAACCCGTTCAATCACGTGAAAAAACTAGAGCAAATAGAATTTTATTAATATATATTACTATTTTTAGTTTTAGTTTTAGTAAATCTATCCGGCACATCATCTTTAAAGAAAATATTAAAAGTGTCAAGATTCTCTAAGGGACATTGTCATATTTACTCGTTATGAATACAACATTTCTTCATTTGAAATGAATTAACCTACAACAAACAACCACAATTTTCTTAATAAATGTTTACAGTAAGTGAGTCCGATTAGCATGAATAGTAGATTAAAGCACAATATACTTACAGAAGAAATAATGGACCTGTATATGAATTAAGACAAAGCTCGGAAACAATATTGCAAATAGTAACGATCTTGCTTTTACGAACTTCGTCTTATTTTCAGAATAGACCTAGATTTATGTTCGTAATAGCTTGACGTTGTGAAGATGAACCCAAAGAGGATAGCTCTATGATTCATATATACAGCATCTTCCATTGGTGTTATCAATTCTTATTACGTGTATATGCATGATCAATCTAATATTTGTGTTGTTCTATTAACGTAAGTATAGGATATTTGGACGTCATGACATCCTGTTGTTGTGGTTAATTCAGGATATTTTAATCGAGTAGTAGAAATTTAATTTAAGTTTGTCGTAACAACTGGCAGAAGGATTGCAATTGTAACAGATTTCAATTTTCACCGGATGTTGTATTTCTATACGGATTGGTGAAATATAGGCCTACCACGAATGATACACAGCAAGCATCTTTCTTTGCTTTACGCTATTAATTTAATTTAACTTAACTGTTATCTACAATAGCTTTGAAGTGTGAGAGAGAGATGCTACTGCACTCCTGGTGTTGAGCTTGGCCCCATTTCACAAAAAGATAAGAATTTGTCTGGATTTTTGCTTTAAGAAATACTTCACTTACGAAAAAATTGATGTATCAAAATTGATTTGATGTTAGAAACCACAATGTCAATTTATCAATCAAGTTTCGACTGCAAATTCTTATATAAGATGTTTGTCGCTCCAATTTGATTAATTGTTTTTGAGTTGTTGCCCTTAGCATTGACAAATTGTTTAAAAAAAAGTGAAAACAGAGGTTTGAACATGTAAGCTAAAATGTATATTAGTAATAAGCTAAATGGCACTGATAGCATCAATTTGTACCATTCACATTTTCAATCAGACGACTGTGGTTCCTGCAATTCCTCTAAAACTAAGCGTTTGATGACGTCACTAATCATCTTATGTGATAAAGTAAATTAGATTAAAACAGATTAGTGACATACACTTATTCTTTGTGAAATTGCGGCAACCACAGACGTCTGATTGAAAATTGGAATGGTGCAAATTGATGCTGTCAGTGTCCCTGATATACATAAAAATTTGAGAACACCTCCTTACAAACCCTTTTGGTTCAAAATGATAACGCTTTTGTACATGTTATTGCAAATGATATGAATAGACCAGAATAAGAAAATTTTTAAATTATCATTAATATTAAATATACAAGTGGTGCATAGTGCGTTCTGTAACCCGTTTCTTTCCCTAAAAGATACATACATCTGGGTTCAAAATTCAGCTTTTATCGAGCGAATAAAACTTTACATACCTTTTTGACACTTTTATCTACACAGCGTTCTCCTCGTTAGCCAATACACTCAGTTTACATATATAGGGTTTTTCTTTTATAACCTTGTTTTTAGCATTGTGTAATAAACCGGTTTTTCCTACACATAGTCCGAAATATACCCACGCTTATTCATAGTTCTTAACAATTAGTCAGAATGGTTTTGAAACTTATACACAATACAAAATATTGAGTAAAATTCCTAGTTTGAATAATTTGTAAAGGGAATATGCGTTTTTATGGAAATATTTAGTACTTTTGAAAACAATTTACATATATTACAACTAAAATCAAACCCCCAAAATACCAAATCTGTCCCTTTAATAGAATTTATAATGGACTGATTTGCAGATGAGAATTCCTCTGTTTTTAGACTGCTGCAGAACGGGGTTCACTTTTCGGACAAAACTTTTGAGCAAAAACTCGTTCCGTGCAAGTACATTCCCACCCTGTTAGTATCATTTAAATTTTCTCCTCTGTCATGGTCCTGTTGCCCTTCAGATTGTTTTATATGTATTGGATGTAAACTTCATGTATATCGTCGTTAGTGGATGTAAATAAATAGGCTACTGTGCGAAGTTTCTTAAGATCAACATCGATAAAATAAATAGTAAAGTAAATAATTTTGCTTTTCAACCTCATGAATTTGATAGCAGGCAACACCTTATGCAAATTTTTTATCATCTTTCATCTCATGAACTAAAATTGCCCAATAATTATCGTCTAAATACGCCACTGGGTTCCTCTGAAATGTTAAGATACCTATAATCACACCTTGTCAGCCAGAAATAGAATTTAGAGTTTTCAAATGATTTTGATGAATCTTGGATTTGTTAGGTACATTGGTAAGAGTCTAAATTGTGTTTCAGGTTGAAAATAATTGTATGGGATCGTTTCGGATTTATATATGCCTGATGAAACAATGGCTTCTGATTTCGTATCAATTTCTTTCAACAAAATGTCTGAAAACATCTACGTTTCATTATGTGAAAAATAAAAATATTTATAATAAAATTCGATGGTGTTTGAATATTGGTGACATTTTTACGTTAATTTGATTACTTTGTGGAATTTGAATTATTGTTGTATAAATTTATGGCCCCGAAAATAACAATAGACTAACTGACCATAACATAGATATGTTTAGGTCATTGGTTATGATCATCAATCAGAAAGAAATAGAGAGAGTGAGAGAGAAATCAGGCCCGTAGCCAGACGTAATTGTTCAGGGGGCAAGTGATATATTCGGAGGGGCAATGGGGAGTGGTCGATTGCAGGAAGGTGAAATATTCAACTAAGATGTCCTAGAGAATCGAACTGTCACTTTTTCGAATAAAAAAACCCAAAACAATTAATAAATTAAATTAACTTTAATACCACTATTGTTAATAAGCAGAATAGAAGTTAAATCACCCGTGTATGTAAACTGTGTAGTATTATACACTTTACATTCTGTAAAGCTCATTTAGCTTGCAAAACACAGATCAAAAGAATTAAACATTATTAAATTTAAAATTGCCTCATTCATACCCCGAATTGAAAAATTTCTCCATAGTTCCATAGAGCTCCGAACTGCTTTATTCTTCAAAAATACTAATTGTTGAATTAAATTCGTGACACACCTTATAAGGAAGTTTATATTTTGGTTTTAGAACAATCTAGACAATCAAGTAGGGGAAATACTTGAATATTCATACCGCAATTGCTTTGATTGTTTCGGAAACATGTGTTTTTTGGGTCAATAATATTAGTCCCAAAACAGTTTTGGTTTGGTCTTACTTCTATTTTATTGATATT